CATGTCGGGTGGACGGTCGACTGTCACCCCAACGCTAACTGCGTCATATGAGCCTAGCCCGGGGAATCTCGTTACGGGGCACAGTCGACCATCGGGTGCCTGACACTCCAGACTCGTCTTTGCATCCCGCCGCGCCTGCATTTGCTTGATGGACGGCACTCTGTCCGCCTTTCGGCTCATGGCGCTATTCAAGTCCCGCGTGGTCACGCGATATCCCGATACCGAAGAGATGCGCAACTATACTCCGCGCACCTGAACCTGTTTTGAGCGCATGGTTCAGTGGCTGTATGACAGACACAAGATTGCTACTCAATATTGGCACATCAGGATTCCATCATCGCAAAGTGGGAATATGGCATGCAGCATCTCGATTCCATTCACGCCCATCTCTATTGCACACCCTCTATGATGACCTTGAAAACGCCCTCCTGAGCAGCTTTTACCAGCTCGAAAGCTTTCTCGGCATCCTCGAACTTGAATCTGTTCGTAATGAGCTTCTTCACATCCACCTTGCCTGAGGCCACCAGGTCTATCGCATTGGGGTAGCAGCCAACCGAATAGCGGATAGAACCCTTGATGGTCAACGCACGGATACAAGCCGTCGTGATGGGGAAAACGACATTCTAGCGTTTCTAATTAGTGACTGAATTGCGAGATGCGATTGAAAGGCAGACTTACTTCCTTGCCCATACCTGCCTGGACGTAGGTGCCGCCCTTCTTCGCCACGTTGATGCCGGCCTGTATACACGGTTCAGCACCTGTGCATTCCAAGACGATATCTGCACCCTCGCCTAGGTTGAATTGCTCTTTAATGGCCGCAGCAATACTCTCCGAATGGGCGACGGGGTCAACCCCTTCCTCTGCCCTTGGAGGCAAGAATACGCCATCTGCCGCATATGCTTTGGCAAAATCCAGTCTTGCCTGGGAGATGTCGACAGCAATGACTTTCTTCACGCCTGAAGCTTTTGCGACTGCCTGCGACAGTACACCGATGGGTCCTGCGCCAAAGACGACTACCGTCTGGTTCGCGCGCAACTCCGCAACCTTGCAGATCTGGACTGCGACGGAGACAGGCTCGACCATTGCTGCTTCTTCCATGTTCATATGGTCGGGGATCTTGTAACAGTAATCACTGGCAACAGTGTAATACTTTGCAAGTGTTCCATCCCAAGGTGGCGTGGCCGCGAAGATGGTATCGTTGCAAAGATTGTACGAGCCAGATCGGCAGTAGTCGCATCGCCTGCAAGGCACACCAGGTTCAATGGCAACGCGATCACCCACTTTGAGGTTTTTGACGGCTGAGCCAACCTCTACGACTGTCCCAGAACTCTCATGCCCAAGGATGATGGGGCTGTTCAGGACAAAGTCGCCGATGCGGCCGCGCTGCCAGTAGTGCACATCGCTGCCGCAAATTCCTGTTTGCGCAACGTGTACGCGGACTTCATGCTGGTCGCGTAGCTGAGGCACTTCGCGGTCCTCGAATGCGACATCCTTGATGGCACGAAGGACGAAGGCCGGGTTCTGAAGAACAGGTCAGTTTCTGACTGGGAAAGCGCACTACAACGATCTCACCTTCTCAGTGGTGGTTACGGAAGACATGTTGTTTTCTAGATCGACTGCAGCGCCTCGTTGAGTTCGAGAGCTCCATCTTGTATGCCCGTGACCAGTGTACCTGAACACAGGTCGGGTGTGACGAAGCGCAAGTGCGGGGATCGTGGGGTCAAGGGCAACCGTCGACCTGCGCGGGGTGTATCCCCGGTCCACTAAACGACACCATCCCCACTCACATGATGTAGGCATGTTTGCAGAGCAGGTATACCCACTCCGATAATAATCATCCGATAAATCGAAATCGCCATGGCGCGCCGATTCGGTTGCGGTCCTTTTCTCTCATCGCATCCTTCCCACTTTCCATCTTGACTTCCATCGCGCACCATGCCTCTCGCACAACCCTCCAATCCCGACGAACATGTCACGTCCCAATTCTCACTCAAAGGCAAAACCGCAGCCGTAACAGGCGGCGTCCGCGGCATCGGTCTAGCAGCCTCCAAAGCCCTCGCAGAAGCCGGCGCCAACGTCGCCATCCTGTACTCCAGCACCAAAGACGCCGACGCCATCGCTGCGTCCATCGCCTCCGCAACAGGCGTACGAGTGCAAGCCTACAAAGCCTCCGTCGAGAACAAAGAAGAAATAACCCGCGTAATCAACACCATCGCAAAAGACTTCGGCGGTCTCGACATCGTCGTCGCAAACGCCGGCATCGCAACACACCACCCCGCCGAAGACTACACCGAAGACCAATGGCGCCACACCATGGCCGTAAACCTCGACGGCGCATTCTACACCGCGCAAGCCGCAGGCGTAATCTTCAAGCAGCAAGGTCACGGCAACCTCATCTTCACCGCTAGCGTCTCCGCCATCCTCGTCAACGTTCCGCAGAAACAGGCTGCGTACAACGCGTCGAAAGCGGGTGTTGTGCAGTTAGCCCGCTGCTTGAGTGTCGAGTGGGTGGAGTTTGCGCGCGTTAATTGTATTTCTCCGGGGTTTATTGCGACGGATATGCTGGATGTGCATCCGAAGGAGTGGAGGGAGAAGTGGATGGGTATGGTGCCTGCGGGGAGGTTGTGTGAGACGGGGGAGTTGAAGGGCGCGTATGTGTTTTTGGCGAGTGGGGCGAGTAGTTATATGAGTAAGTCTTCTTCTCTCTTTGCTATGTGAATATCAGGTTGCTGACATGCTCAAATAGCTGGGGCGAATTTAGTTATTGATGGGGGGTATACACTGCCGTAGCTCGTCGTGAAGGCGAGCATCATAGAGAGGTTGAATCAATTTTTGAGTCTGCCATTACGAGATGTATTACCAAAGACAGCCCAACTACACGTCATCAGCCTCATCCTCGCCATCGCTCTCCCATACTTTGTTCCAAATCTTTTCGATATCTTTCCCCTCGATAATCTTCCTCGTGTGAGCATCGACCCAAGACATACGCTCGTCAGCCGTAAGCCTACGGTAAGCCGGCCAACTGATCTCTTCACAAGCGGCGTAGATATAGATACCAAGCTCGAACTCCTTGCTCGAATGAAAAGCTTGCTGTCCTGTGTGAGTCTCATCCTCGTGTGAGGCAATACGCGCAATACCATACGCATGTCTCGCAAGGTAGTCTTCTCTCTGAGCAAACCAGTCTGTCGCGTCAAACCCAAACTGTTCTTGCGTAAAGTCAGCATAGTAATGTTCGCGGTTGGCGGTAGTGATTGCGAATACGGAATGGAGAACATCGTCATTGTGGTCTGGGTCGGAACTGACATGGATTTTAGTATGTCGGGATGGATAGATGATGACCCATTCTGCTGTCGCTCCTATGGGTCGAAGCGCTTCTTGGATCCATGATAAGAAACAGAATGCACTCCTGTCGCATTGGTCGAGCTTCATAAGGGCTGTCTGCAGATCGTCAGGCACGCTTGATGGGAATGCCGTACGGCCTTTTGCGGTAGTCGGGTCTCCGTTTGGGTCTGTTGCGATGTTGACGTAGTAGTGCGTGACGTCGCCTTTCTGAGCAGTAAAGAAGTTCTTCACGCAATCGTGTTCAACATTCTCTAGAACGGTCATCCATATCTGTCTGAAGGGCTCTATGATCGCTTTGATCTGGTCATGGTCTTTCAGAGTGGTTGGTTTGGTGTTAGCAGTTGTGCTCGCGGGTGTCAGCCCTACAGCTTTGAGTGCCTTGCCCAAGGACTTTAGGCCCGACTTCATGGGTAACGATTTGCTGCGTGGGCGTTGAGGCATTTTTTGTTCCAGTTGCGGTTCTGACGAGTACCGACCGCTTCTCTTGGGAGGGGGAAGATCGCTTGGAAATAGGACATGGCCATCACGGGTGAATTGGCACTCATAATGAAGCTGTGTGAGTATAACCTACATTGTGCATTCATGAAGCTCCAAAGGCCTTGTTCAAGGTAGATGAGGCTTGTTCAACATCCACCCCGTTGCCAAAAGAAGCCAACTCATTGAGGGAGCGGCTCCTTTCTGAACGGCGGAGTGTGTATACAGGCGGTTGGGGGACATGACATGAGGTATCAGTAGACCCAACATAGTGCAATGATGTACTGGAGAGAAAGCGGTGAAATCTGCGTCAAGGAACGATCATTGTCGGCAGGATACGTTGACGAAGTCGAATGGTATCGCGGGGTGGGGAAGGTCCGGCCCGTGCGGACTTAGCGCGGGGTTAGCGTGCACCCTGAATCTCCTTGTCGGCCCTCTTTCTTCATCCTCAACACCACACTTCCCATTCCTGCCAAGAGCAAACGACGAAAGCCGCGACACCATCAGTACACAAGTATCCGCTTCGCGAACGCAGCATCCTCTTCTGCCTGCACAGCCACAATCGCGTCTGCACGGCTTGATTGGCAAACGATGCACGAGACCCACTCATGATGCACGTTGCGGTCAGGCCACAGCTGTAAAGCCACTCACACACAGCCACGGGGCGCAAATTGGGGCGCCTACATGGCTCTACGCAACCTCCCCTGCCTTGGCGGTCGTCTACGCAGCTGCTCATGATCAGCGTGTAACCCGATGAAATACGTGGTTATCCCAATCTGGCAATCTTATGTGAACAGTCACCGCCTCCAAGCCGGTACTCGGCACAGCATCATAGGGAATTCATGGGCATACGGTAAGACTCAAGAGTGGCCATGGCTCTCTACCAGCCCCATGGAGTTGCACAAGTGGTGGATCTGGACCACGCAATGCTTGTTGGCTTGGCAAATGGGTCACTGTGACTTCAACCGTCACCGTGGGGCTGCCGGTATCCGGCCGACGATCCTGCATAAAGCCCTCAGCTTTCTCCTCACACTGTGGAGTTCTTATCAACCTCTCTCTTCGTCTCACACATTTCAGCACTTCCTCCCGTTATCCAGCTCTTTACATCAAGTCGGCTACCACGCAAACACCATCCAAAATGACTTTCTACCACACTGCTGAGGACATTCGCATCGAGGACAACCATGTGTTGAAGGCTCGTCTCCAGACCGCCGAAGGCGAGTGGAATGACGCTGAGATCGACCTCAACACCTGCATCGGCAACGACAACGGTAAGAATCACATTCATCCTCGATACTTTGTTGGTATCGATACTGATCTGATCAGGCAACTTCCACTGGGATGGAGAGGGCTTTGCCAACTCTGCCGAGAACATCGAGTTCGCACTTGAGGGAGATGGCGACGTCCCCGTCCTCCGTGCCACCCTCTTCGACGCTGATGGCAACCCTGAGACTCGTGACATCAACTTGGGCGAGCGCATTGTCAACAACGATGGCAACTTCCACTACGGTATGCAGCAACCATCAGGCCGGTGAAGCTCATCGCTAACCCGTTCATCAGAGTAAGGGATTTGCCTGGTCAGCCTTGTATAGGTCACCGGTATCGACAACCTGTGCTATGAGACACTTCAAAGGAGGACATGGGTTATGAGTGCATCGGAAAACTCCCCAATGACATGAAATGACATAACAACTTCAACTGCACCTATTCTCTCAGCTACCTCGTGATGGCTATGTTTCCAACGATGAATTACTGTGGTACTTTTCTTCCATTTCCCATTCAGTTCTATTTACTCACAGGGTAGGCGATGTACGTATTCAGCCATTCACTGGTACTATCTTTCAACTTCCCCAAATATCTCTACACATCCCGTGACCTTGCGTCGCGTTGTTGCCTAGTAGGTTGGACTCCACTATCAAGGCTGAACAAAGTTCCGAAGGTGAGTTCTAGTTCTTAGGTCACTAGACAACGACTCGATCGCACAGAACATCTGCTGCTCAGCAACTACTCGTACACGCATCGCCTATCAAAGCTCACCATGGCCGAATCGACGTCTCTCGCATCATGGAAACTCCATAACAGGTTCGTCGACATCGTTCGCAGCGACGTCAGTCCAATCCTGGACTTCATCCCCTCATACAATACCCTCGAGTTTGACTACAACAAGACCGAAAGCACCGTCGCACTACGCATGGGCGAATACGGCGACAGCGAAATCCTAGCACATTCCAACGGCTCCGTATCCAAGCGCGTAGTCCGCGACTCCAAGATCCGCAAAGCAGGTACTGTCTTGGAAGTCAACAGGCCAATGAGTGGCCAGTTCAAAGCCATCGCGCCGTTTGGCTGGAGCGAGACTATGCAGCAGGGCATTACCACGCCGATGAGCGCGCCGGCACATGCGCTTGTGCTGATGTACATGCACATCTGGGTTCTTAAGACAAACAAGGAAGATGTTGAGTTGCCTATACCGAGGTATCAAAGTTTGTACGATGCACTAGTTTTGATTCGAAACGCGTTAGATACGGAGGTAATGTTGCCGGTTGGGCAGCGCAGGGTTCCTGCGGAGGTGTTGGCCGCCTATCAGAATGGTGCTGTTGATGATCAGCCAGTCGAGAAGGAAGAGCTTCAGAAAGATTAAAACTTGATTTGATTTCATAGGGCCAATGCCTTTGTACTTCAGGACTTCGTTATACGCCCCTTGCTATCCAAATGCGCAAAAATGAAACTGACGACTTGGTATCAATTTATCCTCAGCAGATGCTGCACCGTGTACTCTGATAGTACTTGCGCCCCTCCCGAGCCCAGGCATACACATGCGTACAAAAGAAACAGTTGATGGAAAGGAAAGACAAACAAAGGAAACATTTACAGAGACGCGGTCTTCTTCTCACTGATCGACTTGACTTCAGTCTCAGTGATAGCTTCGTAAGGAACAGTGCGGACTGCGTCGGCCATAGCCGGTGTGTCCTTCCAGCGGAGCTCAGGCGAGTCCAAGAGCGCCATCCTGTTCTCAGCCTTCATGCGGTCGGCGGTAATTCTTTGCGGGTAGTTGCGCATGAACATGTTGGTGAAGTGCTTGCCGTAGTGGATGCCCTCGGTAGGCTCCTGACCGGCCTGGAAACCTGGAAGGGGCTTCATGACGGCAGAGAAGTTGGGCTCGTGGAAGTAGGCGAAAGCAAAGCGCTCGCGGGTGTTGAGGCCGACCTTGTGGGGTGTTGAGGGCAGGAAAGAGTTGGTGATGTATTGCATCATGTCACCCGGGAAGACGGTGAAGACGTCAGGGGTGGGTGGGACGTAGACCCAACCATCAGTGTCCTCGTGCTTGCCAGCTGCGGTGGTCTTCCAGTTGGCGTACTCCTCGCCCTCGATCGGGGGACGGATGAAGAGGCCACCTACGGCATCCTGGGCGGCGATGACAAGCAGACCGTAGTCAGTGTGTGAGCCGATACCACGACCAGCCTTGCCTTTGCCGTTGGTCTTATCGGTCTGGGGGAAGCGCAGAACACGCATGTGGTGCCAGCCATCTTGCGTGTACCTGGTTAGGGCATTGCCGTCCTCCAACCCAAGACCCCAGGCGATGAGTGACAGCATCTTCTCGCCGCTCTCGCCGAGGTAGTCCATGTAGGCTTGCATGATAGTCTTCATCTGAGTGAATGGCCATGGGTTAGGGCCGTGGCACGGCCACTTCTGCTGAACACGGGAATCAGTGAGTGCGAGCTCTTTGGTCACAGTGAAGATCTCGCTGTAGTCGGCGATGTTGTCTGTGATCTCCTCTCCCGAAGCGATATAGCCAGCGAAAGACTGGTCATCCAAGCAAGCTGCCTTTTGCTTGTAGTCGAGGCCGAAGAACTTCTTGCTGCACAGGAACGCCGCATCGGCGAGCTTGCGGTTGATGGGGTCCATGGAGATCTGGAGGATACCGTCTCTCTTCCAGGCGTCAATCATGCTCTTGCCAAGCGCCTTGTCTGCTGCACTTCCACTGAGAGTCTCAGGGAGCTCGAATGTCTGGAGATTGCCGACAACGGCCTTGTGACCAGGTGGCATAGCGCCCATAGGGTGGTTGTTGTATTGGGTAGCCTTGTAGTCGGCCATGGTTGCCAATCTCCTGACTGAGCTAGACTCGAAGCGATTCGAGGCCCGGCAAAGGGCGCGCATCTTAGCTGGCCTACTCATAATGGTGCGAGTAGACATCCTCGTGGTGTTGCGATGTATGTTGTGACAGGAAGGAGAAGTCGAAATGACAGAACAGAGTGAGGAGTGGAGATTGTATGACTGGAAAAAGGTCTTTGAGATTGATGCTTTGTAACTGTATCTTTCCCTTGGGCTTATATACACATGTCGACTGGCATGGCTCTAGCCCCGGAGACCAGCGGCAGCTGTGAGTGAGTTTACTATTCTGCATGAGCGGACGCTTGAGTTGGTCTTCCCAAAGTAACTCCGGACGGTGAAACTGCATTGTAGAATGTGTGCTCGGCTTAGAGACCACCGGAGGGTCTGGACTACGTTGCGGATGATTGTCCCGGCTCCCTAGAGTCACGTACGTCGTTCCCCGGGGTCGGATCACGACCTGTTCTTCACCATCCTCTGCTTATTATTCGTTGCAAGGCTGCCAGAAGGCCTTTGCGTACCTTGTTTCGCATGTGTGATCGGGCCTTGTTCGAGAGACGTTGCTCCCAGATGAGGCAAACGCATTGACCAGGTAAGCTGGGAAGGGGTTAGATGCGCCGTTTGAGATGCGGCTGTTGTATGACGAGCGATACGTCGCGACGAAGATGAGGCTGGGATGCTTACATTTGGCCGACGTCGCCCAGGTAGGACCGGGCGCGTGGGACTTGGTAGCACCATATTTAGCGAACCTTATCTTGGCGTGCGCCACGCATTCACGTGGCATCCAACGGCCGCGCCCAATGTTTGTCCATGGTCGATCCCAGCCTGAGGTAGCACACATCGCAAAGGTTGTTTTCGCAGCTTTCGCATTCGTATTTTTTAGGCAGTGTTCTGCCGTAAACCTTGTGTCTGACATCTTCGAGGCTTTCTCAGAATGAAATGTCCCGACTCGATTCGGAAATAGCGCACGGCCTCGTGTGCACCCTGTGCGGGCCTGACAAGCTTCACTGACAGCCCGGCGAGTCCCTACAGATTCCCCTCTCATCTTGCAGGAAATCGTTGATGAGGGATCGAGAAATTCGATCGTCAATGCGGACATTATCGCAATTGGTTCGCTTTCACCTAGGGATCGTCGCGGACGTTTCGTATCTACCTAGATAGGTACCTTAAGAAGGTATCAGTGTCATAGATGCTTCAATTTCGACTGAGAAAAGGCTACCTGCAACAGAACGAGATGATGTAACACAGCCCCAAGAGCAAACTCAGGATGAATTGGTCGGGCCGCGTTCGCAGCGTAGCAACTCGGCCTCATACTCGGATGATGACAGAACGTCGAAACGCTGGATACTAATCCAATGCCTGCAGCGCCACACGGCCTTGGAAGTGTCTAGATGGTAGAAGCCGGCTTACATAGTATTTCCGGTTGCAACGGCGGTTGTGGTTTCCACCACTCTTCGACGAATGCAACGGCTCGGAACTGCTGACTTCCCTACCTACCGCTTCCGGTCTGCTGAAAGTATGCGCAATTCGGCGACACTCGAAACTGATATCGTGGTCCATAGGTCGAGACTCTCGGCGTCAGCTGAACACGTGCCGTTGCCTTCTACCGCGAACAAGGTACGCGGAAAGACCTCCGCATCTCCGCGTTCGCGGTTCTTAGAATAGGACGTTGAAAATTATCCTACCAGATCAGAATCTTGGCAATGCCTTCGCAGGGGTCGCGGGTGAGAACCCACCGACGTTGGGGCAATTGTACACGTGGGAAGTGATGATGAGGTGGCGGAGTTAAGCAGAAGAGAGGGGAGGAAAGGACGATGTCAGATGAGATGGTTGAACTTTAATGCGAAACCAAGGAATTTTGTCGACAAGAACGCATGAAACGAGTCGACCTGATAATTGAACAGCAATGTCCACTGCCATTGCGAGTAAGGTATAAGACAAGAGCTGCAGAGAATATATTGCGACAGCTAAGGAGGAAGAAGAATATCTACAAGAATGTATGGGTCGCCAAGTGGCCTACTACTCGGAGCTGCACTCACGCTGGACACGTGCTTAGTTCTTTCCAGTCTTGGCCTTGAGCCAAGCGACGAACTGAGCGATGGTGAACTCCTCGGGGAGAACGGCGTCAGATCCGGCGCTGCCAGTAGGCTTAGCAACAGGTGCGGCAGATGAGGTAGATGAGGCGACAGGAGTCTCGACAGGAGCAGCGCTGGTAGCAGCGGCAGATGAGGACGCAGCCGGGGTCTTGATGGGAGCGGCAACCGAAGAAGCAGCAGCGCTGGAAGAAGCAGCAGGTGTCTCAGCGGCCGCGACGGAAGAGCTAGCGGCCGCCTTGGAGGAAGTAGCAGCAGGCGCAGCAGAAGAGACGACCTTGGACATCGTAGTGGGAACAGGCTTCTCGGGAGCCGCAGCCGCAGCTCCGCTACCA